AAAGTAGTAAAGGTAATAAACTTGTAAATGTTTTTTTTTTTTTTCTCTAAGGGCGGGCAGCTTTACAGAAACGGATCATGGCGTTGCTTAGAAAAATTGAACATTGCACTCAAGGGTGTTCTCAGGTATGCTCGGCAAGAAACAGCTCATTTTGTTAATAAAAAAATATGTTCATAAACATCAATCAAGTTAACTTTCTGACCGACAATAAAAATTTAAATTGTAACCAGCAAGGAAGTATTTTTCACGTCTTGATAAAAAAGACAGAATTACTAAATCAATTTACATTAATTTTTTGAAAGTCAAAATTAGATACTGTTTAATAACTTTGTACGAAGTTTTGGGAGAAAGTCAGTTATTTTAATGTGAGAAAGAAAGAATACCAAGGGACACCTCTCTTGTCTGGAAAGGTTTAAGAATTTGAATTTATATATACATATCTTTTTTCAAACAGAAATCTTTGGTGTTTGTGTGACCACACAAAACTAAGCCAAGCAGTCAGGGGTTAAGTTCATTGTTTCTTTCAGGCCTGGGAAGACACGTTTCTGAACTGGGAAGTGGTCACGAAGCTGCTAATTAGTTATCCAAAGACAAAATTAGAAGAAGGCCAGATATGTGAAGGATTTCATCGTACTATTGGCAAGAGGAGAGCTTCCCATCAAAGCACGGAACATGATCTAGAGGTGAGTTGTGAAGATAGTTCATAGTTCAAATGCTGTGCAAGAAGTGGCCACCATTAATGGGAGACAGACAGACGCCATGGTTCGCAATGTATATAAGATAACTAATACCAGTCAAGAGGTAAAATATAAATAGTTTAAGTGTAAACCTGCAAAATGGGCTACACGTGCTGTGCTCATGAAGGGGATTGAACCTTGAATTTTGCCCCCAGACATACTGCTAAGTCAACAGGAGCCATATACTTTATGCTAAGTTTTATATAGACAAGGTAATATTTTATGTCAGTTTATAATAAACAACCATTATGGGTTAACCAAATGTGCATAACAAGATTATGTATCCATGTCTCACAGCATGTGTTTAGTAGCTTAACATTGCATTTTTGTTTTATGTTAGGACCAACTGAATGAATGGGCCAACATGACTGGCTTTTTATGCGCTTTGGGAGGGGTCTGCTTACAAAGGAAGCCATTGCCAAGACCTAGGTGAGTCAGCTCCACAATTGAATTTAAGTACACTGAATTATTCTTAATACTTTTGATTTGTACAGAGAACTGAGTATGTTATATTGAAATAAATTTGAATATGAAAATTATAAGTCGTGTGACAACCACAGCTGATATAAAGTCATGATGGAACAACATGTATCAGAATTACATTTGAACATTGTTTGGTGTTTCGTAGGTAGTTATTGCTTTTGGGAAAGGTTCTGAACAGCCCTTTTTGCCACAAAATATTCGTACACTCATATTAATCAATAAAGACTTGGATATCATTTATTCTGAATGGCAATGGAAAAGAAAAGAATATGGGGTATCTTGAGGAGCCAGGACCATCCAAAATTCGACCTGCAACAAGTCATATCCTAACTGTGGTTAGCAAAAGTGCAGCGTCTTATAAAAGATAAGAATTCATAAACACAGAGGTCACTGGCAAAAGCCATCCACTTGTCCCATGCAACAGTAACCAACATAATCAACAAGGATCTCTATCTGGAAAAAATTACAAGTCACTTGTACACGAGTTGCTTCCACAACATATCCTGAAAGGGAAAACCAACCATAGAAAACTGTACGAATGGTACGTAGCCAGGAAAAATGGCAGTACATTGTGATACTTAATAAAACATATGTGTACTTTGATAACTGTAACAAGTCTCATGATATTTTCTACTGGTCAGTGGGTGAAAAATATTTTCAGTTATGGTACACAGCATATCACATATTTTAGAAGTGATTCATGGTCATCGCTAGGTACTGCATCAGGGGTAAGTTAGGGATCAGGAGAGTGATTACAAGGGTCAATTCTACTACCAGCCCAGTGACTTCCAACTGTACCTCCTATTCAACTGTCACATACCTCAAACAGTTAGAGATTGAAATGGGTATTCATGCTATTCCATATGAAGACATATTTGACAAGTAACCAGACACAGCACCTATGGACTTCTGTATAATTGAAAATGTCATCCTGATACACTAGATGGATTATGGAAAGCCAACAAGGAGAAGGGGAATGGTGTGCTTTGGAAATGACAACCTTTTAATAATAACAAAAAAGACCTAAGTTGCAGGGCTATTGTTAAGATGCACTGTCATCAGATAAAGTAGGACCAGACATGATAACATTGAACAACATGGTGAGGCTCCAGAATCATGTTAATATAACATACTCAACCCCCTATATAAAGTTAGATAAGATATTGTTTTATATCTAAAATTAAACTCTAAAAAAAATTGTTACTCAATTTTTGATTAATAATTTTTTTTAGGCTTTTAATGTTATTAATTTTTAAATTTAATACTATTACGAAGAAGAGTTTTATACTTCTTTAAACAGATATGTAAGTTTAGAGAGTCTACCTTAAATGTTAATTGAATTATAAAAACCACAAAACCCGATATTTCACAGATAGTCAAGTTTGGTAAAGTTTGCAACGTGTTTGATGAAGAACGTACTCATATTTTGATAAAGCAGTATAAAGACAGTATGTAATGTGTCTAGTGAATTTGCTTATCTGTAACAATATAATTATATACATCATACAAAGTACTTTTGTACAGTTACAAGAATGAATTTATTATGGTAATTACAGTTCCCACATTTGATTGTTATTTCTATGCCTGATTTTTTCATTTATGTGTATATTTTAGAATGTTTTTGCCTTTATTACAGGTTGTATCTTTATTTAAAAATATAGGCAAAACAATTTTTACATTACACAATCAAATTTTAAAAAAAATTTTAAATGATTTTACGTGTTACAGTAGCCTCGGCTACCATCATCAGGAAGGTCCCAAAACATGTAGAGTAATGTTTAATTTTTTAAAACTTTTATCGTGTGATGTAAACATTGTTTTGCCTATATTTCTAAATAAAGTTTATTGCTCAATGTTGCCCTATTTATATTTTAGGCTGTATCTTATTTGTTGAAGTTATTGATGAATATATAATTTATATTGGTGTTATTATAATTGGTATTTGATGACCGATTTTTTTTTGTGGCTCAATTATTCACAAAAGTATTTTTGTTTTATTTGTCTTTGTGTTATAGTATATATCTTTTTTACCTGATGAGTGATGAGTGTTCTTTTATTTTTGATATTTTACTGTATGGTTTATTATATATTTTTTTTATCTGATGAGTGATGAGTGTTCTTTTATTTTTGATATTTTACTGTATGGTTTATTATACATTTTTTTTACCTGATGAGTGATGAGTGTTCTTTTATTTTTGATATTTTACTGTATGGTTT